AGAATCCTGGTGTGGAACCCTGGGATAATGCACTGGACTGAAAGGTCAGTTTGAACCCCAAGGTCGGTGATTCAAACTCACCAGCTGCACCTTTGAAATACTATAAGGGTTGCTATGACTCAGAGCTGACTCAATGGCAATTAACAACAACAACTACCTAGTAAGCAGTCAGTGAAAATTGGAAATATATGTGTTAAGTTTTAAAAATTATGGGATTTATTAATATATATATTTATACATGAATATTTAAAAGAGCTCATTACAGTAAAATAATATGTTCCTCAATTATTTTTCTAGTTTTTCAAACAATCTCATAAAATTACAAAATTATTTTATGTTTTTCGAAAGGAAATCCTATTTTAATGGAATATTAATAATGGAAGTAGCTTTCACCATCTTAAAATACAGATATAAACAAGAATTAATATTTTTTACCTCTTCACTTGATGATACAAATTTCTAAAACAAATAAGAAAGATAATGTTGTTGTTAGATTTTACATAACTAAAATAATCTATATTTATATTTCTGTATACGTACTGAGTGAACAATACCGAAAAAACTGAATAATTTGAAATTTTCATTCTTAAACATTGTAATTATTTACCTTTTTAGTTTTTCTTTAACTATGTTGCAAACCATAAAAACTTTATTTATACTCTAAGGAATGTGTACTTAATTAATGCTCTTAATGTAAAGGAATAAAAACTTTATAGTAAAAATATTTAACATAAATACAATTGTATTTTAAAAATAGTTTATTAGCAAATCAGAAAAATTTGAAAGCATTAATATTTTATCAGCAAGGTTATACAGTTTTGCATTTTAAAGAAATCAGAGTTTCTAACTATAAAGTATACTTCAATGTAAAAAAAAAAAGTATATATATGAAAAAACAGAATTTTTACCTCACCAATGAAGGGGAAACGCTTCTAAAGCAAAGGAAAAAATGCTTTAAAATGAATATACTCAGATTTCTATATTGTTAAATGCTTTATAAAGCTTTATAAAGGAGTAGAGTGTCTCCATAATATAGGCAGTGGACTATGAACCGCAAGGTCTGTGAGTCAAGTCCGCCACCCGCTCTTTGGGAGACAGACAAGGCTTTCTGCTCCCGCAAGGATTTAAAGTCTCAGATACCCTATAAGGGGTCACCATGAGCAGGATCCGACATGACAACGTTTAACAACAACATAGTCTTACAATTATTATGTTTTATTTTTAATATGAAACACTGTATGTATTGTTTGTTTATTTTTATTTTCATCAACTTCATAATTTTATATTTTTGACCTAGATAATTACATCAGAAAGTTTTAGTTTGGATGGATTTTGGGTTGTATTATTCTACATATGCACAAATCTCTATCATATGAATAAACACTCATCTTTTTCTTCATATAGCTGGATTAGGAGTGAAAAATTTCAAACCCTTTTCCAAGTGTGTTTTAGTTTGCTATATTCTCTTTTGCCTACCAGATTTTGCATGCAGTTGTGTGTACTTTTTTTGTGTTGTATGTTGGCAACTCTTTACAGTTCCAGAAAGACTACATATCCACATTTTTTCAATGATCATTTCTTACTTTAGAGTCTCATCTATTTATACTACATTGAAGCATTGAAGGTCATTAAATATCATTGAGGATTCTTTGAGACTCTACATAACCAGGTGTTAGTTCTTCATTACCAGAAGAAGTCAGCTTGCTATAATTTGATGATGTTGATGTTGTAATCAGCTTTCTTAAAATTGTTGATGCTACATGCCTTCAAGTTGGTCCAATTCTTGCCAATCCCATATAGAGTTTCCCAAGAGTGGCTGATAGGTTTGAACCACGGACCATGTTGTTAACAGTACTTATTCATCAGTGCCACACCACCACACACACACACACACACACACACACACACACACACACCCTTTTCTTTTTATTAGTTTTCTGTATGAAAAGGACACATTAAATGTCTGTGTATGTGAGTAGCCATGTAACATTAGATCCCAATGTTTGTTTTATATAACCATATATATAACAATATATATAATATATATAATTTATTTATTTATTTATTTATATGTATATGTATGTGAGTTTATATGTAAGCTTAAGGTTAGTAGTTCAAAACTATCAGCAGTTCCATGGGAGAAAGATGAGGTTTTCTGCTCCCATAAAGATTTACAGACTTGGGAACTCTTCTATACACACTCTTCTATATGTATTTATACATGGTGGTGGTGGTTATACACACACACACACACACACACACACACACACACACACATGCATGCATATATATAAGACTTCTGCGTCTCACTACATTAAAAAAAAATTCACCTCTTTTCTTAGCTGTTACCTGTTTTAAAGGAACTACAATTTTACTATTTTGATTTAAAAACTTTGTTTTGAAAAAATGAGCACAAAACTCTTCATGCTCAATCACATGTATCACTGATGCAAAAATAGCGTATCACTAACACTAATATCTATTATTAATTGATAATTGTACTACTACGGTTTTAAAAGTACAATTACTCACCCTCTTTGCAAGAGCAACACACACAATGCAGGCCCAAAGTAGAAGTTTCATTTTGATCAATCCTATGAACATTAATATTGTAAATTGGTTTCAGAAAATATACATTTTTAAGTTATTTTTCTTCTCCTATAGAGAGACAAAACACTATGAGTTTATTGTTCTGAACTAGAAAAACTCTGAACAGATAGAAAGATGAGGCTTTCTGATCTCTTAAAGATTTACAGCCTCGGAAACCCTGTACAGGGTTGCTATAAGTCGGAACTGACTCCACGACAAAAAAAAACAACAATTGAATTATTGCCATGATGTGGCGCTGTAGGATAAGCACTGGACTGCTAACCGAAAGGTTGGCAGTTCATATCTAACAGCAGCTCTTGGAAACGGTATACAGGGTAAGTATGAGTTGGAATCTACTCGACAGTACTTAACAACAGTGTTATTGTAGTTAGTGTTGTTGAGTCGGTTCCAAATCATCGCGACGTCATATAGGGTTTCCGAGAAGCGGCTGGTGATCTTGAACCGCTAACTTTGAAATTCAAACCGACCTTGCAGTCTAGCTCATTATCTCGCAGCGCCACACCAGGGCATGCTGTTGTTCTTGTTATGTGCTGTGGAGTCACTCCGACCCATAGCGACCCTATACAGGGTTTCCGAGGCTGTAAATCTTTACGGGAGCAGAACACCTCATCTTTCTCCCGCGGAACAGCTGGTAGTTTCGAACTGCTGACTGTAAAATTAGCAGCCCGATTTGTAACCACTACGCTACCAGAGCATAGCAACATTGAATTACTGTATGACCTAACAGGAATGGCACTAACACCCAAATTTTCTTTTGGCATATCTCCTTCAACAATTGGATTGTGATTAAACTGTCTTTAAGTGGAAGTCAATTTGTTTAGTTATTTAGGGATACATTTTGCAACAAATTTTTCCTGGAGGGTTCACCAAGAAATCGAATTCTTAAAAGTAAACCTTTTATGAATGCCTTATTGAGATTTTCTTCTTTATGACTTCAGTGTGAGATTGGTATTAACTACCTGGAAAATTTTTCAGGCCTAAAGATTGGCCCAGGATCAGGCAGTGTTTCGTTCTGCTGTGCATAATAAGGTCGGTATGAGTCGGCACCGACTCCATGGCACCTAACAACAACAAAGTTTTTGTGATCATGTCCTTTGGTATAAACCTTAAGACCTTTGATAAGCAGTTTTACCTCAATCTTTGTAAAGTAGGGAGGCAGCATATATATTCAGATGTATGTCTTGATTTTCTTCAGAGATTATGTAACAGGTCTCTAGTTGGTTTATTATTAAAATTTATAACTTTTGTCCTCAGCAGAAACATAATCTCTACTTCTATTAAAAAAATGTAAAACATGCAAGGATGTTTATTATAGCATTTTTTTACAATATGGAATTGTGAAATAATAAAAATATCTGGGTAGTGATTATTGATTAAGCAGTTAATGGCATATCAAAATAATATGTTGTTCATCTAGTAAAATATGGTATAAATATATATTAATAAAATCAGATTTATGAGCTATTACTAATAGTATACTTATATGCTAAATATATTAAAGGTATTTTATGGATAATTTTTTAGTTTGATGATGACTGATAGTTTTTAATATCTCCATATCCTGTACTTTTTGTGAAATAAGAATGTATTATTTGTATGCTAAATCTAATTTGAAATTCCAAGTTTTATGATAAAAGGCTTTGAGAGCTTTCCTGTTTCACTCTGACAATAATCTAACCTGTAAAAAAACTGGAAGAATCCCTGAAGTTATAAACACCATTCATTTACCCAAACTTTCTTTGTTATTGTAACAACCATCACTTACTTTTTGGACATACATATTAAATGAATTTTGTTATAATGCATTTTGGTGTCATACAACTGGGATTTTTGAGAGACAATTTAAGAAAAGAAGATATTTCTATTCTGAAATTGTAAAGATAATGAATTGAAAAAAAAAAAAAAAATTCCATCCAATTGATTCTGAGTGTTGACTTGACGTGTAACAGAATTGCTTTCTTCAGATTTTACTAGGTGTGAAGCCGACTGGACAGCACTTAACAATAACAACAAAATCTCTACTGGTATAGATTGACAGATCTTTCTTCCATTGAGCTTCTGCATTGGTTCAAACTGTTAAATTTTAAGTTAGTTGTTGCTGTTAAGTGCCAATGAGTCAGTTTGACTCATAGCAACCTTGTATAGGGTTTTGAGGAGCAGCTTGTGGGTTTGAACTGCTGACCCTGTGGTTCACAGTCCAATGCTGATCTTACAATGCCACACCAGGACTCCATTAGATCTGTACTTCACTCTATTTCTACCTGAGTAACACTGAAGGAATTTCTGACAGGTCCCCAAACCTGGACTTTTCTTGAGCTATTTGCATATTTTAATGTCTTCTCTTATGGTTGTTGTTGTTGTTGTTGTCAGGTGCCATCGAGTCGGAACTGACTCATAGTGACCCCATGCACAGCAGAATGAAACAATGTCTGATTCTTTCTCACTACCTCTCTACCGCTGCCACACTTGATGCCATCAATGATGCTACCTGACTGATCCATCTCATTGGGGGTCTTCCTCTTCTTCTCTGACCCTCCATCTCACCCAACATGACATCCTTTTCCAGCGACTATTCCCTCCTGACAATATGTCCAAAGTATGAGAGACAAAGTTTAGCCATCTTGGCCTCCGAGGAGCACTCTGGCTGCACTTCTTCCAAAACAGATCTATTGGTTCTTTAGGCAGTTCATGGAACTTTTAGTATTCTCTTGTTGTTAAGAGCTGTCAACTCAGTCCTGAATCACAGAAATGTTGTATACGGTTTCCAAGGAGTGGCTATTGAGTTTGAACCACTGACCTTGTGGTTCAAACTGACTTTGCAGCCCCATGCTTATCCTAAAGCACACATCAGGACTCCTTAATGTCTTATAGATATTCTTGGTTTTGCATTTATTTTCGCTCTTTGGCTAACAGGAGTATCAGAATCAGATATGCTGTCCTTGTTTAGCACTCCTCAGGATATTATGGCACCCCGTTTAGGGCTGCTTATTTTGTCCTGGTGTGGTGTTTAGGTAAGCACTGGGCTGTGAGGTTGGTTTGAATAGCAAGTTGGAGGTTCAAACTCACCAGTTGCTCCTCAGAGACCCTATAAGTGGTTGCTATGAGTTGGAACCAACTTGACGGCACTTAACAGCAACAACAACAATTTCATTTCTGGCTTCAATTTATTTCTTACACTAAAATATCTGTATTTTTTTTTTAAATACTGATTTATTCTGTTATTTATAAGCCACATCAAAAGCTTTTAGAATATGTCATATTATAAATGAACAGAAAACAAAACAGTCAAGTAAATGAATATTTTCTACATTTTTTATACCAAAATTTCCATTACATTTTAACATTTCTGCAAAAATGGGGAAAATGGTATTAGTGGAAATAATAAAATCATGAATTAAACCTAATGGTAATTATATTTTATCTCTCAATATAGTCTATTTAAGTAGTCTATAACTCATTGTAGAGTATTTATGGCCTAAATATTAACAATATTAAGAAATCTTCTTTGTAAAATCATTGCTTTTATCTCTATCTGGGATTCTGAAACAGGAACATTTAATTGGTTAGAATATATTTTTACAGGTGATTTTCCAAAAGTTAAGAATTTTTCCCTACTGATGCTATTCTTTTGGAGGGAGCATATCAATGACTCAGGAACCATGGCAGCACTGTGGGGTAGTCAGTGGATTGTTAACTACAAAATTGACAGTTCAAACCCACTACCCTGGTGTGGTGCTGTGGGCTAATGTGTCAGACTGCAAAGTCATTTTGAAGCATAAGGTCGGTGGTTCAAGCTCACCAGCTGCTCCTTGAAAACCCCATACAGGGTTAAAATTGACTAGATGGCACTTAACGACAACATCCACTGCATGAAAGAAACATGAGGCTGTTTGCTTCAAAAAGACTTACAGGTTCAAAAACCCTCTATAGGATGCTATGAGTTGAAATTGGCTCTATGGCATTGGGTTTCAAGTGTTTTAGGGTTATCAATTGCTCAAACCTATACATCTGGATTGCTGGTAGGTTCCTACTCATGGTGACCCCATGTACAGCAGAAAAATTACCTGGTCCTGTGTCAGCCTCACAATTGTTACATTTGAGATAATGCACACATACCTTTCATAATGAATATAAAACTAGTACTTCCAACAGAATAATTAACAGCAAATGAAAGATGGTGCTGTTAAGTGACTCATAGCCACCCTGTATGAGGTTTACAAGGAGCCACTGGTGGGTTTGAACCGCTGCCATGAGGTTAGCATTCCAGGGATTATCCTACAGAGCCACAGTAGGACTTCAAATAAAAGATAATGGGATTGAAATTTCAGAATCCTTAAAAAATAATTTTAGGATTGAGAAAAGCAGATTTATCAACATTTAAAATATTTATTAGTCTCACTGCTTCTCACTTCATTGATTCATATATCACTGTGACTTATGGTTTTAGAATAATCTAGGAGGAATTAAACCTTTATACCCATTCACATAATAGACATTTTACTTCTTTTCCTAAGGTTTTTTGATGTTGTTGTGGTCTATTTATATTTTTAAAAAATAGTTACATGATAGAATAATATTACAGAATACTATTTAATTTTACAGAAGAACTTGAGACTCCCTGATAAGAAGGAGTCCATCCTTTTAGTGTTTATGTGATCTCTTTAAGCCAGTTTGAATCTGGAGAAAAACATTCCATTGATTAATCTCCTTCACTCATGCAGTCTTGAAGTGAGATCTGCAAAATTACCTGGTGTGTGGTAGAGTAGATACATGTAACAAGACCCTGTGTTACCAAGATCTCCAAACCAAGGAGGAGTGTAAATATGCCAACTAATTACAGACAATCTGTTAAAGTTTATTTAACTCAGACCCAGTAAAGAAGCTTGAAAACAAGGGAGAATCTTAATATGGAAAAGGAAAAAGATACCTTGTTCCAGGATGAAAATTAACTCCCGCAGGTCCTGATGTTGATC